TATAAAATATATAGCGATATATCTATATATATACTATAGTAATGTATAGTAATAATTATAATACTACTGTATTATTATGTCATATTATTTTACATTGTATATTATTATTATATATTATACATATAAAAATAATATAATACATATAAAAATAATATAATAATATATAATAATAGTAATATAACATAATATTACCATATTATTATATTGTATATAATAGTATATACATGTGCATTCATATAAATTGTATGTATATATATATACACACACACACACACACACAATAATACGGTAAGTAATAAAATATTTTTATACTTTTCAGGGTGGCGAGACGTACATCTACAATTACGACAGTTTGGGCCGTGTTACCGACGTCATTTTGCCGACTGGTGAAAAGTTGAAGCTACTCTCGGATCTCTCGGACGACGAAGGTCTATCGGTCAAGGTGTCAGCGCCGCTTCAAGCTCTGTCGAAGGGTGACAAGCAGAGGATCGTCGAGTTCAAGATGAAAAACGAAAGATCGAAGATACTGACCATCACGGACGGTAAATGATGAAACTCGAAATAAAAAAAAAAGAGAAGAGCATAAATGTAGAATAAAAAGGAAATCGCTGTGAATTGCAGGTAGCAAGATGAAGAAAGCGATCGCTTTCACAAACAGCAGTTTGGAGGTTCTGCTTCCTGGCGGTGGCAGAGTGCTGAGCGCGGCCACTACGAAACATCCTCTGCTGGAAGCTGCGTTACCGGTCGAGGCTGAAATGCTGCCAATGTGGAGCTACCAATTAATGTCCTTGGGCGAACTGACCAACACGATGACCACTGCGTACAATCTGGTCGGCGACGTCAGCCACTCTCAACAGACTTTGAACAGGGAGATCTGGGTGAACGACACTCGCGTGATCAGCGTGGAGTTTGAACAGGCTTTCAGGCGGGAGACCTTCTACGACAAAGCGAGAAATCCATTGTTGACAGTTACGTTTGACCCTGCTGGCCTACCACTCACCTGGCAACCGCACGAACAGGGCTACAACCTCAGTATCACGTACGACAGGTTCAATCGGATAGAAAGCTGGAAGTGGGGGCCGTCCGACGAGTCGTACGGATACGACAGACACGGACAGTTGGCCGAAGTGACCAGCAGCCAGGACGGAACCAAACGGTACACCTACAACGATTTCAACGTGCTGTCCAACATTACGCTAGCCAGCGACAGACACTTCACCTTGCAATACGACGACGACGGTGGGCTACGTCACATCATCCTGCCGTCGGGAACTAAGCATTCGTTTTCCTGCCAGGCGTCTCTAGGCTTTCTCAGAGTAACCTACACTCCGCCAGGCAGCAGCAGAGCCTACCTCCAACATTACAGCCACGATGGCAACCTGTTGCAAACTGTGTTCCCCGGTGACGGAGCCCGTATCGTCTACAGGTATCACACGTCCGGACAACTTGCCGAGGTCGTGCACGGTGATGGGAAGAGCGAAATCAGGTACACGGAGAGCGGCCTGCCCTCGGAAGTGATACATTCTGAACGAGACGTGGAATACAAGTGGGACTATCAGTACAGCGCTGGCCTGTTAGTCGAGGAACGCATAGACTTTGGTGCGAAGACTGGCCTCAGCAACGCCAAGTTCACGTTCGACTACGACTCCAACTTTCGACTGATCAACGTGCAGGGTAGAATCGGCGGCCAGACTCTTCCCACTCACACCATGGCGTACAGTCCTAGAACTGGCATGCTGGAGCAGATCGGGCAGTTCAAGGTGACCAGACCTCAACCGAACGAGACCACCGTGTTCGATGGGACCGCGTTGTTCTCGAGGATCATGGACGACAGGTTCTTGGAGACCCAGGTAACTCTGACGATTCATCAACTGGAGGTGTTCAGGATGGAATTCACGCACGACACTCGCGGCCGTATCAATCAGACGAGAACCTATACGCGCAACGTTGCGGTCAACACCTACACCAACGTGAAGAACTACACCTGGGACTGCGACGGACAGCTGACCGGGGTCGAAGCCCAAGAACCATGGGGATTCAAGTACGACGCGAATGGGAACATGTTGTCGTTGACCTATCGTGGGAACACCATACCCATGGAGTACAACAGCATGGACAGGATTGTGAAATTCGGCGAGGGGCTGTACAAGTACGACAACAGAGGTTTGGTGGTGCAGAATGCCAGGGAGGAGAGGTTCAACTACAACGCCAAAGGACTTTTAGTGCGCGCCACTAAACGCGGACGGTTCGACGTCAGATACTACTACGATCATTTGGATCGTTTGGCCACTAGGAAGGACAATTACGGCAACGTTACCCAATTCTTCTACAACAATCAAAAACGGCCGCACGAAGTCAGCCAGATTTACAGTCCGAGGGATGGGAAACTGATGTCGTTGGTATACGACGACAGAGGTCACTTGATCTACGCTCAGGTCTACCGGCACAAGTATTACATCGCCACCGATCAGTGTGGAACTCCAATCATGATTTTCAGTCAATACGGCGAGGGGATCAGGGAGATTATGAGATCGCCCTATGGACATATCGTTTACGACTCGAATCCTTATTTGTACTTGCCCGTCGACTTTTGCGGAGGGCTCTTGGATCAAGTAAGTTGCAAACTCGTAATCCAAAATTACAAAGATTATTCGAACGATACAGATCCGAGATATATATGTATACATATATGTATATTGTACGTTCTTTTTCGTATCTTTCTCCCAACTTAGGTAACGTCCTTAGTGCACATGCCAAACGGCAAGGTTTACGACCCACTGATAGGCCAGTGGATGTCTCCTCTGTGGGAGAACGTTTTGGATAGAGTGGACACTCCGACTCACCTGCATCTGTACAGGTTCAACGGGAACGATCCTATCGATGTTAGGCACACCGACCGACCGAATCAACCAACCGGTAAGCTTACCTACCGAGCCTTCATCCATCACCTGTTCCTACCGTGAAGGGTCGTATGATCACTTTGAAAAAAAAAAAAAAAAAAAAAAAAAAAAAAAAA